CCTTATAGAGACATCATTCACTTTAGTAACCCACTGACCATATCTGATTACTCTGTTCCCTGGATAAGGACTAAGAACTACACGCTTACTACCTGAATAATTTAGTCAGCAATCTGGAGAAAAATACTCCTCAAAAACGAACCAGTTGGGGAGGGGGGTAGAAAAATAGAAAATGGATAGGTCAGCAAACCAATTCAGAGAAAGCCCAAACCACTCGTGTGATCCACAGAATTATCAAAAGCAGTTCCTCTTTCCCACTCCAGAAACCAGAGATAAGTACTCTAAAAGCAAAGACTATTTTTTCCCTACATTCACAGTCCAATGATTCAAACAAGAGCATGCTGGATTATTTGTTTCCCAACTCTAACATAAAGCAACTGTTATTTAACCACACGGTCAAAGTTAAGTACCTAACAAACTGTATGGGCAGAAGAAACAATGATGTGAATAAATAAGCTTAATCCAACCAATAAATAGGATTTATAGGGATCAATGAATCAATTATTTCAAAAGACAAAGATGACTAACAGTCTCATATAGAATGGAAACATAAAAAGAGATCAATATTGAAATAATTTCTCCCTAAAAATTATATTTTAATTTCAATATGCATTTATTGCAGACTTTTATGTAATAATACATAAAACAAAATTCTAACCCTCAAACAATATATCAAGATGGAGAACTGAGCATATATTAATACTCTTCTTCCACTTGAAACCCCATAAAAGTGTCATAAAATTCCTATTTTAATAAAATAAATACATAATAGCACAGAAAAACAAAAAAAGCATGCCATCATCAGTTAATATAAGAAATACCCAAAAGATGGAAAGCAGACTGGTTTTCACATCTAAAGGTTAAAAACAAGCAATTCATATACAACATAAACATATAAATGGACAATAAACATATCATAAGATGCTCCTTCTCACTAATAATCAGGGAAATGTGATACATTATAATCAAAATGTGATAGTTTTATCTGGCAAATTAGAAAAATATTAAAAATGATAAAGATTTGGCAAGGATTTGAGGAAAAAGGACTCTCTTTTACTGTTGGTTGAGAGTAAGTTGGTAAGGCCTTTTTAAAAGGCAATTTGTTAATATTAATCAAAATATAAAAAGCGTATATACTCTGATTCTGCACTTTTACTTCTAGGAATATAACATAAAGGAAATCTTTACTCACATATGGAAAGACAGTCATGCACCACATAACGTCTGTTTAGGTAAACGTCTGACTGGATATACGTCCTTGGTCCCATAAATTCAAAAATCCATATCAGAAAACAGGACGTAGCAGATATAACCGGACACAGTGAACCAACAGCTTCCTGCACACAACACATGTATCTCATGTCTCTAGTACAGAAAGCAACTGTGCTGCCAGGCATATAACAGTACAGTACATATGTAATACATATGTCTTGATAGTCAAAATAAACGTGTTACTGGCTTATGTATGTACTGTACTGTACTTTTTATTGTTATCTGAATGTGAACTTTTCCTACTTACAAATAAAAAGTTCACCGTATAACAATGTATGCTTTGACTCGTAGGCAGCAGCACCTAACCTCGTGCATCATGCGTCTCTTGAGTATTACAGCATTATCTCTACTTAATTTTCTTTCGAAAATATTACCATGAAGTGCATCATAGCTCCCAAATGCAGCAAAATCAGTGCTAGTGGTATAATATGGTGTTCGCACAATGTTCAAATCACATAACGCCCCACTTCACAGAATGTATCGTGGACGTTAAAGGATGCGTGACTGTACATGGGTATTCAGCGTAGCATCTCTTTAAAACTGGAAAACAGGAAACAATTTAAATGACAAATGATAATGGAATGGTTAAGTGAATTGTGCCTCATTCATACTATGAAATACCATGCAGGATGAAAAAATACCTAAAGTACCAATATGTATCAACACAGAAAGATACCCCCCCCAAAAAAAAAAAACTCCACATACTGTAAAGTGAAAAAAGCAAGTTACATAACAATAGATCATACTGTTTTTCAAAAATTCTAGCTTCTAGGTCAATTGGCATAACAAAGCTTTTTGAGAAAATGTTCTGCATCCCACTTTGGTGAGCGGCAACTGGGGTCTTAAAAGCTAGCAAGCGGCCATCTAAGATGCATCAATTGGTCCCAACTCAACTGGAGCAAAGGAGAATGAAGAACACCAAAGACACAAGCAAAGTATTAGCCCAAGAGACAGAAAGGGCCACATAAACCAGAGACTCCATCAGCCTGAGACCAGAACTAGATGGTGCCCAGCTACCACCAATGACTGCCCTGACAGGGAACACAACAGAGAGTCCCTGATGGAGCAGGAGAAAACTGGGGTGCAAAAGTCAAATTGTAGTAAAAAGACCAGACTTAATGGTCTGACTGAGACTGGAGGGACCCCAAAAGACATGGCCCCTGGACTGTTAGCCCAACTGAAACCATTCTTGAAGCCAACTCTTTAGACAAAGAGTAGACTGGACTATAAGACATAACATGATACTCGTGAAGAGTGTGTTTCTTAGCTCAAGTAGATACATGAGACTAAACGGGCAGCTCCTGTCCAGAGGTGAGATGAGAAGGCAGACAGGGTCAGGAGCTGGTTGAATGACATGGGAAATCCAGGGTGGAAAGGAGGAGTGTGGTGTCACAGTATAGGGAGAGCAACTAGTGTCACATAACAATGTAGGTATAAATTTCTGTAGGAGAGACTAACTTGAATTGTAAACTTTCACTTAAAACACAACAATTTAAAAAAAAAAAAACTGATATGGACACAGTCTGAACCTTTCCCAATAGCAAATGTTCTCCAACTAGGAACTACTCCCTTATTAGCCTAAGTTCTTCTGGAGTACTTAACAGAGTGAAAGCAATAAAAGATAATACCAGCTACATGTAATTAGACGAACCTTGCAAGATAAGGAAAAATAATACAACCTACTATTATTAACGGCACTTGTTAAAGGTGCCAAGAATACCTCTCTTGGTGGCCAGTTATTGCAGCAGGTGTGTGATGGGCCCTGTGAGCTACAGTTTCACATCTGAAAGGGCAGCTGAAAAGGAGTTCTTAGTTGAGGTTTACTCTACTTTCATTATAGTTACCCAATCTAACACAGCAGAGAATAAGGTAGTGTGGGATAAAGACAGGCTCTGCATTGTAAATAAGAAAACCAAACCAAACCAGTTGCCACGGAGTGGAGTCGATCCCAACTCATGGTGACCCCATGAGCTGCAGAGTAGAACTGTGCTCCCCTCTAAGCATTTTAAGAAATTTAAGAAGATGAATGTCATGATAATTTGTATACTATACCTTTCGAAGGCTTTCATATTCTTCACGAAGTTCCCCAGGCTTGCTTAATTTGATTGGTGCTCTGAATATAAACTCTGGAGGAAAGGAAAAAGAAAACACTTTTTAACAGGCCTTTCTAGGAAGGAACGTTTTCCTACTGCTCCCCACACATTATAAACCACATGAAAAACTGTGGCCATCTTAATTTGAATATTTATTCATTTAACAAATATTTATTAAAAGTTGTAAACCAGGGACTGTTCTAAGCACCAGGAGAAGCACTGAACAAATAAAGTCCTTGCTCTCATGGAGCTTACAATCTTGTGGAGGGAAACTGACAATGAACAAACAAGTATGTGTATATATAACACAACTGGTGGTACTAAGTACTGTGGAGGAAAATAAAATGTAGGGTGGAAGAAAAAGGTTATTTTGTATAGGGTGGTCTGGAAGAGCCTCACTGATAAAGTAACATGTTAGAACACCTAAAGGAAAAAGTGTATCTAAAGGTATTAGCTCAGTGTTACCAAGTAACATTTTAAATGAGTTGAAGTTTTATTCATAATACTGTATTTTTCTATTTCTTTCTTAACATTGACACCAAAATATTTCCTAAAATTAGGTCATATCATCTCATTTTTAACCTCAAAAACCTTCAGTGGTTTTGATCAGCCTATAGAATAAAGTCAAAACTCTTCAACAAGTAATGTAAGTTTCTCCAGAGACTTATCACAATTTTTTTTCTTTCTAAAGCACTGTATCTCTCCACCTATGACTATCCAGGCACAACATATATATGCCATATATTTTTAAGCCTTTTTTGCTGTTTTCTCAGCTGAATTTCTGTCTTTTCAGCTTCTCTGTATATAGTTTTAAATTGGAGACATTCAGGCACACAGTACATGTTGGGTATATAAACAGATGACAATGATTAAAGAACAGGAATAAAAGATAAGCCCTAAATCAAAAAAAAGGGGGGGAGGGGGAGTACACACTTATGACTCCTTAAGTGTACATAACATTTTACATACCCTCTACGTATATTTAGAGGTCTTAATATAGTATTGATTTTAAGACTTCTAGTAACTCTACAGAGCCCTGGTGGCACAATGGTTAAGAGCTCGGCTGCTAACCAAAAGGTTGGCAGTTGGAATCCACCAACCACTCCTTGGAAACTCCATGGGGCAGTTCTACTCTGTCCTATAGTACAGCTTGCTATGAGTCGGAATCGACCCAATGGCACAGGGTTTAACAACTACATCCCATTAAGGTTGGTAAATATTTGTTCTAGAGAAGAAGTAGGTGACTCAAAAAGTTGCCTTTTGTTCTTTTTCAATTGTCTCAACTATTTTAGAAAGCAAGACCCTTACTTAGTATATCTGAGGAATGTGGAAAGATACTTAGAAACACTGGACCTAATGCAAAAAACAGTAACTTAAAGCTTTACTGAGTACTACAGAATTGTTGGTCCCTAGGTTTGAGAGGTAAACATTCCATCACCTTAACCCATTTTTTAAAAAAAGTCCTGATAACTATTTTAGCCATATTCCTTAAACATATTCCAAATACAGACAGATAATATTTAAAATTAGATGCTTTAAAAGTAATTACAATAGTAGCAATCAATGCTGAAATCACTATAATAAAAATAGCTAACATTTAATAAGAGCATATTTATATGCTAAATGTTACACACATACCATATTTTTACACAAGTAGCACATGCCTTTTACATCTGTTTGCCAACCAGTCCCTCTCCCCTGCGAGATATTTTCATAAAAAGCATCACTGTATTTTTTTCTACCTGAGAAATGAAGGCAACGGACTAGATAACTTCTAAAGTTAAATGATTTGGTAACGACATTTTTATTTCCCTTTATTTCGCACTCTGTAGGTTCTTTAAAGTCTGAAAAACCCTTTTAAAGTTTAATATTATGAGTAAAATGCTATTAGAATTGTGAACTTTAGAGTAAACTATAACATCAAAATGATTTATTTGAAATTTGTGAAACATAGTGCTTCAATCTACCTGGACTATATCAGAAACTGAACAGAAAAATGAAAATCTCCCTTTTTAATTAAGTCCTTTCACAATATCTCTTAAAGCCGAAGGGAGGACATGTATACACTCAACATTACTAATTATACTAAGACAGTTATCATTATGAATCTTTCAGGCTCCCTATTTTTAATAAAGAATAACTATTTGCAATAAAACAGTTTCTGTCTTCTGATGTGGAACTTTGCTTGTCTTAATTGTCTCTTTATTTCCCTTCCCTTTCCAAAGGTCATATGTCAACTTCCTCCACCCCAAAAGAGGAAACTGTGGTTGAACACCTATAGTACTACCACAAAAGCAGAGCAACAAGCTGTCAAGTCAGATCCAGAAAAGGCTATGCCGTCCTTCTTAGTCCAGAGGAGTTAAGGACAAACCCAACCAACTCCTCCATCAGCTTTTACAGGGATTTCCAAGTGTTTCAGTAGCACAGAAACGATCACTCACCTTTCCTTCATCTCACAGAAAAGAAATGCTAGAAATTGAGTTAGGTGTCACTGAGACGCTGAATATCTTGGCATCTGTAAATGAATCCAATGGTTGAAGTACTTTCTTGATGCCTGTCTTCCGACTACTACTTTGCTAAACAGGAAAAGAAACTAAGAATATGATGCCCTAAGAATGACACGCACTTGTGACCAGTGACCTAAGCTGAGTATTGCGTTCAGCCTAATATGAATTGTAGGAAGAGCTACACTTCCGTGAAAGTCCTTTCCGAACAAGGATTGTCTTTCGGATGGTGTGACTGGTTGTTAATAAAAGCAAACAAACAACATTTTTCTATTTGCACCAAACCCCTCAGGGATAAAATGTCATTGTCAAAGCATCCACACTCGATGCAAAATGAGAAAAAGAATTGCACTCAATTGCATTGGGAAGATGTTACACTAACAACTCTCAAATGCAAAAGTACCCTGGTACTTGGTTATGCTTGAGTTTTCACCCTTGCAGGTTCAATTTCTCACCAGTACAGCAGAATGAAATAACTTTGGACCTAGAATCCCAAGACATAGATCCTAGTTTGGATACTCCCACTTCCTAGCTATTTGTCCTTGGGCAAATAAAAAAATCTCTTTGTACTTGAGCTTCTTCATCTGTAACTTGGTCATTAATACAACCATACCTCAAACCTACAGACAAGATCAAATTAATAATGAATTCAAAAGCTTTTAAACTGTTAAGCATGTGGTGAACTATTCAGCACTATACAAATAGTTATATTAATATCTGCTTTAAAATAGTTAACTGAGGACTATATATTTTCTTTAAACATATAATTTTCTGTAATCAAGAGTTAGTTATACACCATTTATATTTCACTATGACACAACAGGCCATCTACATGACCTGCCCCCTGCCTCCTTCTCCAGTTTAATCTCATTTCATTCCCTACCTCATACTTTACAAACCATAAACAATCTATGGTTCCTGGACCAAACTGTACCATTTATGCCTCCATGCCTCTGCCTTAAATGCCCTCACCTTCCATTCTTCCCCTCCATAGCCACCTTTGTACCAAGGTAGAAACAATTCATCCTTAAAACTCTCCTTAAATTTCTGCAGAGCAGAAAATAATAAAACAAAGCCAAAAGATAAACTTGAAAAAAATATTCACTATACACATAGTAGAAGGCTAATTTCCACCTCTATCACTATCACCACACCAGTATGACTGCCAGGTTTTGCTGGCAGTTATTACACTTACTATGTACCAGGCTTGATGGTAAGGACTTGATATGTACTAATTCAATCTTCAAACAAGCGTATTAGGGTAGGTGTTGTTATCATCATTTTTACAGATGAGGAAACAAACGCACAGAGAGTTTAAGAAACTTACCCAGGCTACACTGCTGTAAGTGAAAGAGTTATGATTTAAACTGAGGCACTCTGGCTCCAGGGTCTGTACTCTTACCTGCCATGCCTAATTACCTCTTTAATGTATAAAATATAGGCATTTCAATAAAAGTGCCTAACAACCTCATATAGCAATGGGCAAAGAACATGAACAGGCAATTTAAAGAAAAATAAACTCAGATGACTTATAAGAATATGAAAATATTTTTAATTTCATTCATATTTCAAGATGTAAAAATCTGAAAAACAAAACACTTTTATATGTCAGATTGGCAAAGATAAAGTGTGATGAAGATGAGAGTTAGCAAGAGCATTCTTTATCATAAAGGTAATATCACACATGTATACAAAGATATATATACAAGAATGTTTACTGCAGATCCCTTATAATACTGAAGAGTGGAAACAACCTAAATGTCTTTCAGTTAAGGACTGATTAAATAGACGACTGTGCAGCTTATTGTTGACATTTTTAAAAATCAAGATATATTCAAATTAAAAAAAAAGAAAATAACAATCCAATTCAATCATGGTATAATCTTATTTGTATATGTGCATGTGTCTTTTTTAAAAGGCTACATGCACATATAATGCTACTGCATGAAAAACAAAATTATAGAAGGATATACAAGAATCTGATAACTACAGTTAACTCTGGGATAAAGACCAAAAACATGGGATGGGGAACAAATTTACTTTTCTCTGTTGTTATTGCTGTTAGTTGCCATCAGTTGATGTGTGCGGAGCAGAATTGCTCCATAGGGTTTTCAAGGCTGTGACCTTTCGAAAGCAGATCACCAGACCTTACTTCAGAGGCACGTGGGTGGGTTTGAACCACCAACCTTTCGGTTAATAGTCCAATGCTTAACCATACCTCCCAGGGGCTCTATCACTTTTCATTAAATATCCATTATTACTATTTCAGTAATAATATGAATCTATCACTTTTTTTTTCATGATGAACCCTCTCTGGAGGAATATAACATCATCCAGAGCCTCTGCAGTTATTTATACACAATGAACAGCACTGTAACAAAAATAACCAAGTAAACCAAGAAACCAGACCAGGAATAAAAACAGACAATATAGAAATAGATTCTTGGTGTCCCAGTTAATAGAATTATTAACTATAAACTTTAAAGTAACTATGAATAATTTGTTGACAAAAATATGTGACAAGATGGA